GGAAAGTCTATCGCTCACTAAGCAACGTTTGACTGATTCCAGTGCATATAAATTAAGGAATTTGGTATAGAAAGGAGTTTTACTACACCAAGGATCCTTCCCAGAACATTATTTTAACATCAAACCCCGGGATGAGGGCAAAAATGTCAGTCTAATCTATGTGAAGCGAATTAGTATCTCTAACTGCCTTATAAATATTGCACCGGATTCCGTTTGATGATTTCCTCGCTATATAAGAGGTAGGTTTGTTGACTAAGTTGTGATTCTTACAATAACACTTCTCCATAAACCACACTTTTCATTCATGAGTCTCCACCACCATTGAAATAGCAATGCAGTGTTCTGTGCAAAAATTGATCCCACACCTAAACCACCATCGGATTTAGGGCAATGACTTTATTCCAATCTACCCAGTGAATTATTCTTTTCAATTCACTACCTCCCCCATAGAAATTTGTGCCTTATTTTTTCAATTTGATCGATGATTCCCAATGGTGCTTTAAACAGTGACATATAGAACGTGGGGACACTATCCAGAACAGACTTGATGAGGGTGAGACGGCCCCCAAAAGATAGGGAATTGGATTTCCAACTAGAGAGCTTAGAAGATAATTTATTCAGAATCGGATTCCAGTTTTTCTTAAGTGCCATGTTAGCACCAACCGGTACTCCCAAGTAATTAAACGAAAATTCACCATGTCGGCATCCAAGTGCTTGAGCAGTACTGGAAAGATTTTCTTTATCAATGCCCACGCCAAATAAGCATGACTTAAGAAAGTTGACTTTCAGCCCCGAAGAAATATGAAAGCACTTCAAAATTCTTGATAGATTTTTAAGATTCTCATAATCCCATTCACCCGCAAATATTACATCATCAGCATACAATAGATGTGAAATAACAAGACCGTCCCTGGGTAGTTTAATGCCACGGATAATTAGGTTATCGCAAGCACTTTTCACCGCAATATTTAGCCCTTCCATAACCAATATAAAATGAAATGGCGACAGCGGATCCCCTTGTCTCACCCCCTTGGATATTGAAAATTCTTCTGTGGGAGACCCATTAACAAGAACTGAGGCTTTTGCTGAGTCATAATTCATCATGTATATTTTAGAGATGCTCTTCGTTTTCAACCCGCCACAGATCAAACATATAAGTTGATCGAAATAAAATAATGTTCAGTTTACAGCAATGTATTTCGGTGCAAATGAAAAAAAATGGCAATTTACTTTGGTGAAAATGTTAAAATAATGTGCATTTTTATTAACGTTTTAGAACATATAGAAAAAATAAAAATAGAGATTTACGCAACTTCTTCCAAAACTGTATTGGATGAAGGTGATTTATTTTTACGAAAGCTCAAGAACTTCATGCATAACTGCAAGCACTCAAGATTCAAGGAGAAGGTATTACTACTTGTTTTTAAATCTTAAAGTTAACTAGAAGACATATTACTAATTACTTTTTCCTACTTCTAATATCCAGAGTGAGCGTATTAAACAAGTTTTGGACCACATGACACTTTAAATTCAATATGTGTCGTGCTTGTGATGGATTGTTGTGGGGTGTGCCATGTGCGACAGGTGTAGTCACATGTGGACTCCAATTTTAGGGGGGCTCCAAATTATGGAACAAATATATAGTTATGGTGTTGGATTGTGTAAAAACTATTGCTTCAGATTTGGGCAGTGTTTGTTGAGAAAAAAATTAAAAGAATAATTAAAAAAAGAACATTTTGATAAGAGCAACGATGGGTAATCAAAATGAGTAAATGAGCTTTCACACGCAGGGTTATTCATGATCAATATTTTTTTTATATACCTGATCGAACTATTGGTTCATTAGAGTGAATGTTTCAACAATACAAATAATATGAAGATATTTTGGTTTTTTATTTGCAACAGAAAGTTGAATTCACTAAATACCATTAAGTTAAAGGCAAGTTGCAAAAAATCTTGACAATAAGCTGCAAAATGGTCATATATTAGACATCGATGTTGATGGTTTATTCAACGAACTGAAACTGCTAGAAAAACATTTATCAATTGAAAATAATACAACTAACAAAACACTAAATTTTTTAAATCTTATTTGCGATCGACCGTGTCTTAAGAGAGATTAAACGTGTTGACTTTGATTTTAACTAAGAACAAGTTTCTTGAGGATATTGATTATCAAAAATGTAGTAGACGAATTTACTTCTAATTGTTAGAAAATTGTTGATGTTTAGAAAATAGTAATGCATTGTCTTTATATATATATATATATATATATATATATATATATATATATATATATATATATATATATATATATATATATATATATATATATAATATTTGTCACAATTTCAATTTATTACTAAAAAGTGAAGACGTGATGTTGTGGTTTGTTATCAACTTTAAGTTTAACCGTAGCAAAATCAGTTAATATATTTTACAAGAAATTTTTATAGGGTCTCACTTTGATTTTCCCATAAAGCCTCTGAAATACCACAGTCGGGCCTGAATTTTAACTAGAAAATTCAAGAAATCCATCTAGGTCTATCAGAGAACATGTAACGACCCAATTTTCACGTCCAAAAATTTCGTTTTTAAAACATTACTTGAGAAAACGTTAATAATTAAAAACATTGTTTGATCAACTACATCACAACGTAAACCATGTCTAAAAGCCAAATCATACAACCAATCGAAATATCAGAGTATAAATCCCAGAGAAATCTAATAGATGCGGAAACCAGTGTGTGTGCATGATGTGCCGCTACCGCGCCAGCTCCTTCCCCTTCGATGAAGAGGTACCTGAAACCAAAACTGTAAACTGTAAGCACAAAGCTTAGTGAGTTCCCCCATTGTACCACATACCATACAATCACATAACATACATAAATTGTCAGGCATATCTGGGTGCCGACCTACCCCTTCGGTCCTCTCGACCGGATACTGCCTAGCATATATAGGTGCTGGCCTCCCCTTCGGTCCTCTCGACCGGATGCTGCCTAGCATATCTGGGTGTTGGCTCCCCTTCGGTCGTCTTGGTCGGATACTGCCTAGCATATCTGGGTGCTGGCTCCCCTTCGGTCCTCTCAACCGGATACCGGGGACTATTTCACCCCCCACTACTACCACATAACACATATATCACATAGTCTATCTAGCATGGCTGGGCATGACCACCCATTCGGCCCTATCGACCGGTGTTCTGGGGGACTATCTCCCCCTACTGTCACTAACACATAAACATAACACAGGTAGTAGCAACCCTAGATGAATATCACAAAGACAATCATCTAATCACACATCTCCTACCGGTGGGCCGGCATTGTGGCCTTAGACCCACCGCTACTAGAAGGTAACTCACCTCGTAGTAGCTGCTGATCTGTGTGGGAATAGTCTGTTTGCCGCTGCTGCTCCGGAAATCCTCCGGCTGAAATTCCCACCAAACACTTAGTCAAATACTGCTAACTGTCCTGATCATGCCCTAAGTCAAAATCAGAGTCAACTTTTAGTTGACCCGACTCGTCGAGTTGGCTCGCTAACTCGCCGAGTCCCTGTCCAAACGACTGACCTGGATTCTGCTTCTACTCGTCGAGTTAGGCGTTGACTCGACGAGTTCTCCTTCCAAACTGATGTTCAAGTCCTTTATCCTACTCGCCGAGTTGTATGAACAACTCGCCGAGTTCATCTTCATCCGATGAACAATTTATACCGTGACTCGCCGAGTTGTATGAACAACTCGCCGAGTCTGTTCTTCATCTAAGGAGATTGCCTTGGACTCGCCAAGTCTGGGCATCGACTCGCCGAGTTCCATTATGGGTGAGTTTTGGCTTCCAACTCACCGAGTCCACCCTGGACTCACTACACAACTCGACACAGCTAAAAGGGGACAATCTCGGAGACTCGCGACTAGACTCGCCGAGTTAGATGAGCGACTCGTCGAGTCTGCTTCATGCAAGAGCCATAAACACGATTTTGCTCGAATCCAGTCCATGCCATTCGTAGATCTGGGCTCCTAGAGCATGAATAACATGTAAAGTTTCCAACTTTACGTGTAAATATCCATCTATGAGGGTTTTAGGGTTCAAAATGCACCAAAAGAGTAGATCTAAGGTTTTCATGCAACATGGGTCCATAAAGGCAGTAGATCTGAGCTCCTGGAGCTCAACCATGCCTAGATCTAGAGGTTACTCAACTTATTACGAACCCCCAAACATACACAAGCTTGGAAATGGTTCAAGAAATACTTTAATGGAGTTATAAGGGACTATAAGCATGAAAGCAAGGGGAAAATCGAGTCATACCTTAGGGAACACACTGAGAAAGCTCAAAGATGCTTGACCTCCTCTTCTTCTTCTTGATCTACTCTTTTTCCCACTCCAAAACTTCAAGAGAGTACACCAAATGCTTCAAACTCACAAAGAAACAACTTTTGAACAAGGTATAGGGCTCTGAGGGTGAATGGGGGCGAGATTGGGGGTGAATGAGAATTTAAATAGGGTGCAAACCCTTGAAACTTAGGGTTTCATCCAACAACGGTGACTCGCCGAGTCCAGGATATGGATTCGCCGAGTCGCCAACTTAAAACGTGTCCCGGGTCCCGGCTCTACTCGGCGAGTCGCACCTATGACTCGCCGAATCCAAGGGTAAAAATGAAAAACACTCAAATAAGATTTACATACCAGGTACCAGGTGCTACAGAACAAATGGAGATAATATAGTTTGTTAGTTGTTACTCTAACCATTAATGTTTTGTAAATTTTCATTTGCACTAAATTAAGGTTTGTAACTTTGTTTTGTGCTATTTATGAGCAGATGAATTGGTGATCGGTCTTTCTAGTGAGCTTTCACAATAGTAGATTCAGGTACTTACATAAATACTAAAACTTTTAAAACAATGAATTGTTAAGCAAATCAATAGCAGTTTTACTTTTTTCCAGGTAAAAGATGACACCATACAAATGGACCCATGACCGAGTTTTAATTTATTTTTCCTAAAAAAATGCTTTTCATGATGCAATTTTGGTTGACCCGATTGTCTCTACCAAATTTGGTTCCAACTGGTTAATCCGACCGATCGATCGACCCGGATTTAAAACATTGTTTTTAAAAAACGATGCAAACCTTGTTTTTATGTATTCTTCAATCGCCGCAATCATTAGCATCGTAAATACTCTTCGCATTTTGGTTGCGTTTTCGTCTCTGGATTCCTAATTTCCCACAGTAAGCTTTCTTCTCCTTCTTATGGCGTCCACCAGTTTCTTATCTCGTTCACTCCGTTTCGCTGCTACAAAACCCTATTGTCCATCTTCAATCCCTTCTATTTTAACTACTCCCCCAAAACAGGTTCTAAGGTTTTAAATCGCTAATTTCATCTAATTTTACTTTAATGGTGGTTTCAATCTTCGGTTCTTCTGTTCATCGTCTCAGGTATCCTTTAATCGTTGTCGTTTGATATCATCGTCCATGGCTTCGGACTCGACTCAGAATGAATTGCCGTCAAATAATCCAGGGCTCCAAAGTACACCTCCTGATAAAGAAACTAATGGCTACTTCATGCAACAAACGGTACTCAATCAAATTGTTTTCTCTTGCGGATATTGAAACTTGACCTAGGGGATGAATTATGGTATGAAACCATGAAAAACATTCGTTTTCGAACTTTTATCAGCGATTATAGCGATTATCATCATGATTCGTGATTTACTGGAACTTAGCAATCAAAATATGTTTTGAATTGATTCAAAAACCGATTTCAAGTGATTTACTGGAACTATATGTTCTCTAACATTTCGATTGACTAAAATACACCGTGTTTATTTCAACCAAATTCTCATCAAATATGCTTAACTTCTTCAGATGTATCGAATTAAAGATCCAAAAGCGAGTCTGGATTTCTACTCAAGAGTCCTGGGAATGTCGTAAGTCTTCTTGTTTCATCCACTCATTACTCTCTGTGCCCTAATTCAAATCCCCAATTCTCTATTTCCATATACAAAAATCTGAAAATCATCAACTACATTACATTATCTTGATGTCCATTGCCTCATTTTCTGATTGCAGATTACTCAAGAGATTGGATTTTCCAGATATGAAATTTAGCTTGTACTTTATGGGCTATGAAGTAAGACACACTAAACCCTACTAAATACTAATATCTTTTTATTTTTTTTACCAAAGTTTATAAATTATAATCATTTCATTATAATCTCCAAAGGATACATCATCTGCTCCAGAAGATCCAGTTGAGAGAACTGCATGGACATTTGGTCAAAAGGCCACCATTGAGCTCACACAGTATGCAATACCTTAATTCTTCTTCTTATTTTCTTAATTTAATCATTTTTTATAAATCTTTTTTAGCAATTGGGGCACTGAAAAAGATCCTAACTTTAAAGCATATCATAATGGGAACTCAGAACCTCGAGGATTTGGTATAACATGAATTTCATTTTTTTTTTATTTTTTATTTTTATTTTGTGGTTTGTGATCTTTTCATGCAATTTAAATGTTCAGGACATATTGGTATAACAGTTGATGATACATACAAGGCATGTGAGAGATTTGCACGTCTACATGTTGAATTTGTCAAAAAGCCTGATGATGGTAAAAAAAAAAAAGTTTTAATTTTTTTTTAGTTTTGTTTTAAAAAAAAATGTAATTTTGTAGCAGCATAATTAGTAATTTTGTTGTAGGGAAAATGAAAGGAATTGCATTTATTAAAGATCCTGATGGTTATTGGATTGAGATATTTGACACAAAAACCATTGGAAATGTAGCCAAGGCTACTGCTTCAAAAGACTAGAGGTAAATTACATTTTTGGTCCCTGAGTATAGCTGATTTTTGCAATTTTGGTCCTCAAAAGTTTTCTCTAACGATTTTGATTCTATTCGAGGTTTTTATAATGTTTTTGTTTCTTATTTGAAGCATCCTAATAATTTTTGGTCTTGTTCCAAGTAAAATGACTATATTACCCTTTATGTTATCATGTGTACAACTTTTTATATTTATGTTTTTATTCTAGAAAAACTAATTAGGCCAACCCACTCCAAACATAATAATTGTAATAAACAAAATGTAACACTCATTTTACTTGGAGCATGGATCAAAACGTTATAAAATTGCAAAAAATGTTTTTGGGATCAAAATTGTAAAAATCAGCTAAAGTTAGGGACTAAAAATGTTGTAACATAAAAAAGTTTGTTGCAAAAAATGAAAAAGTCTGGTTTTTTTGCAGGAATTTTTTATGGAAAGCTTGGAATAATAGTGTCTTTTAACGCTTTTGTGATCTCAAAATGTTGTAATAAAATGAGTAATTTGGTGCCGAATATATTTTGAGAGGAAATATGGTGAATGTACAAGTATTGGTACATGAGGTACAAGTGTTATTGGTTTGAATTTTGTCGGGTTCATTACATAACCAAATTATACAACATGGGTCATTTTTATATGATTTGTGGTTAAATTGTATAATTTGGTTCTAAATCCAACGTATCCAATTGGATCGATCATGTTTGATCTCCAATTTTACATTCAATTACATCCAACCAAAATATGATAGATGATTTTAGAAAGAATACACACTTCAAAATTAATACATTAAAGACTTGATAAAAACATGAGATACAATAACAATACATGAAATATCAATTGGGTATGTGGATATTGAATGGAGTATCTGACTGGATCGGATGAGTTTGGATTTTGAATATGGATATTGATGGATCAAATAACCGAATAATCCAATTTACATATTGAAAATTTGGAGCCAATTTAATTCAATCCATTTATAATTTGATATCCAGTGTAATTTCGTAAGTTTTAATTGGTTAGATGAGCTTGAATTGGATCCGTTAATTTCTAAATAGGGCTACAATGAAATACCTCAAAAGTGGTATTGTCGATTAAAAAAAAGCATTATTGGTGTAAACAATTTTGCAATATGAACCAGTATTTTTTTTTTTTTTTTTTTTTTTTTCCTATTTAGTATATTTTTTTGGTGGAGATTACAAAATTAGTGCATTTCGCATTGAAAAGTGCATTCTAAATATTTGACTATCTTGAAGAATCAAATTTAGGTTATTTTTAGCAACGTATCAAAAGAAATGATTATATTAGTCTTTCTTTTTATAAAAGAAAAATTAGACATTGAAAAGATCACATATTTTGCTAAAAGTAAAATCTAATTTGTGTCGAGAGATAAAATCATGGTTCTAAAAAACACGTAAAGGCATGATATGACGCGAGATATGAAATAACCGTCTCGAAAACCATATAAGATGAGTTTGTTAAGTGTGACATCAAAATATTTTGTGAAGGCGTAAGGTTTTTTTTTTCTGTATAATTAGACATGAAACAATTGAGTTTTTGTTTACGTTTTCATATTAAATGGTGATACACTTCTAAAACTTGATATAATTCTATAATTATACTCTTTTCCTCCCATAATTATCATCCAATTTTGACTTTTAAAGTTTTTATTGGTCAATTTTGACCATAAATATTTTTATTTGTATTATATATTACTTGATAAACTTATACCAATGAAAAGACATTCAAAATAAAATCTATTTATATATTTTGCATCAAATATTATATATCAGAAACAAAAATATTTAAAGTCAAAGTTGAAAAGTAAAAATTTCAAAAATAAAAAGTGAACATTAAATATAGAACGGATGTAGTATGATTTATAAAATTTTAATGTATATAAAATTGTCATGATTCATCAAGACTTGTTATGACTTGAGATTTAATATTATCCCACACTTTATACCATTTAGAACCTTCAATAACAATACAACAAAATTAATTGCCTACGAATTCATGGTTAATTAAATCCATATTAAATTACTCACATTGAAATGTGGTGAAATGCCTAGATTAAATAATTTGGGGGTGTTTTTGGTTGATTTTATCAGATATGATGAGATAATCTAATTGGATAATAGAATAAATTATTACCACTTTATTTAAATGCTTGGTCTATTTTGTTAAAATAATACATGCTACTGATTTATAATGTTTGATAGTCAATTAAAAAGTATTGATGGAATTTACTCATAAGATAATTTTTAAAAAATGTTTTTATATTTTGTGTTTATTAACAATTAAGTTATATTTTTACTTTTTTAAACAAAATATGATAAAATTGTCATCGTTTATACATTTGAGATTATTTTGATAATGTGAAAGCTAAATACAATGACTTTTTTCAAATAAGAATCAAAATTTAAGGGTTTTTTTTCCTCTAAAATTGACCATTTATATAGTAATATTTTAATATTATTTTATTATCTTATTAATTTTTTAGTGTAAACTACAATCTTAATGTATTATTTGCTTGTGATATATTATATTATCAAACTCTAAATTTATTGTATTGTTTCTGTATAAAAGATGATAGTATCTATTTTTTTTTTTTTTTTGAACAACCATGTATATAGAAGATAAGATTAGCTAGAAGCGAGAAAAAAATAATTACATGAAAAATAGCTAAAAACGGGTTTTTGATCCAATCGATCCACTTAGCCCTAGTTTTAACATTTCTATTAGCAAACCAAGAAAACGCTAGATCTACAATACCATGGAGCATCCGTTCCCTTCGAGGAGGTTTGTCCCCAAACACCAAATCATTACCGAACTTCCCGACCACAAAACAACATTAGAAATCGCCTCCAACACCAAGCTTTTACCTGTTTCCACTTGAACCGAATCCACCTATTATAAAAGATCATGCACCCATACCCAATTCGGAATAGGCACTCAAACCATCTCTCAATACGAGTGACCACTAAATTATCCGGAAAATAGATAGATTTATCTTACTTAATATCTCTTTTTTATCAAAAAAATAAAATCATATTTAATCGTTAACGAACCCGAAAATATAATGTATTTATTGAAATTTTTTCCTTATTCATAATAACGAGCACTATGTAACGCATAATAGTATAATACATATTATTTAATATTTTTATAACATCATTTAGTAAAAGCTATATTTGTATCATATAGTAAATAAGTTTCTAATTCATAAATAATAATTACATATGGATATGAATGAATTATATAAAAATCAATATATTTTATGATAAAGCATTTAAAAAATGTTGCTATATAAAAATAGGTGGATACTCGTATGTTACGTAGATATAAATTATGTAGTTATTGATAAGTTATATGTTTTAAAATAATGTTATTAACTATGAAATAATATTTCGTATGGTTAATTAAAAAGATGACATAATATATTGTCATTATCCTCAAAAGCCATAAAAAAAAGAGGTAGCTATTATAATTGTGTAAGTTAAAGAGGTGTAGTAGTTATAGTGACAAAAAGTTGAATACAAATATACTGGAACAAACTTGATGTCAATGATATTTATACTACGGTTGAAGGAACAAAATTGTGTAATTTACAATTTAATGATTATAATTATTATTATAGTTAACTAATTTAAAAGCGAAAACTTTGGTCATTTTTAAAGTTAAAAGGTGTACTCCGACTAGTTTTTCATAATCATGTCCAATTTTCAATTAATAATTAAGTACCATAAAATCAAAACATGGTTGAACTTGATCGGTCTGTGATAGTCTTTATTGATGATATCTTGAGTTATTCCAAGATGCAGGAGTAGCACGAGGAGCACTTGAGGGAGGTGCTGGAGACACTGAGGGGGGAGAGACTTTTCATACAGTTCTCCAAGTGCGAGTTTTTGTTGCGCGTAGTGCAGTTTCTGGGGTACCTCGTCAACCAGAACAGTATATTGGTCGATCTAGCCAAGGTAGAGGCAGTGATGTGATGGGAGGTTCCAAAGTCTCTACTCTATATATGAGATTCAAAGATTTATTGGTTTGGTGGGTTATTATCAGAGATTCATTCAGGATTTGTCCAAGATTGATGTTCTATTGACCCGACTGACCAAGAAGTCGATGATATTCCACCGGGGCCTGAGCAGCAAGCAACTTTCGAGACTCTCAGACAGCGGTTGTGCAAGGCACCGATTCTGACCTTGCCAGAGGGCATCGACGATTTCGTGGTTTACTGTGATGTTTCGCTCATGGGTATGGGTATAATGATGATGCTGCGGGGTAGCATGATTACATATGCATTGAGGCAGATGAATCCTCATGAGGCGAACTACCATTTACATGGACCACAAGAGCTCGAGGCACCCGATGGATCATTCGAATCTGAACAGGAGGCAACATCGTTGGTTAGACGTGGTGAATGATTATGAATGTGAGATCCTATACCACCTGTGGAAGGACAATGTGGTGGCCTATGCTCTCAGCCGCAAGGCAGTCGCGGCTCCAATTCGGGATATATGCCTGAGGATTACAGTGATTACTCTGTTGCTAGAAAGGATTCGGGAGGCTCAAGCCAAGGGTATGAAGGAGGAGCGCCGGAAGTGTGAGCGAATTATAGGTCAGGTGGCCTCATTTGATTTTAACAGTCGTGGGTTACTGACCCTACAACGTAGGGTATGGGTTCCTTACTGGTGCGGTGTACGCCAAGTTCTGACGGAGGAGGCTCACAAGTCAAGATTCTCCGTTCACCCCGGGGCGATGTAGATGTATCTGGATCTTCGCTCTGATTATTGGTGGCCCTGTATGAAGTGAGATATATCTTGTTTCGTGGAGCGGTGCTTGACTTGCAGGAAAGTCAAGGCCGAGCACCAGCGACCTCACGACAAGACATAGGCGTTGGAGATTCCTATGTGGAAATAGGAAGACATCACTATGGATTTCTTCACAAAGCTTCCCAGGACCACACGTGGAGCCAAGGACGGTAGCCATCCTCAACAGGAAGACGAAGGATCTGAGGAACAAGAGGGTAGAGTTAGTGAAGGTGTTGTGGCAGCACCGCAAGGGCTCGGTATGGACGTGGGAGCCAGAGGATGAGATGAGGGAGCACTATCTAGAGCTATTTCCAGTCGCAACAGCCTTCGAGGATGAAGTCTGATTCAAGTGGGGGAGAATTGTAGCATCTGAATCCTGAGGTATCAAAAATATTAAATTTTGCATTTAGAATAGGCTCACGACGTGAGCCATAGTGGTCACGTCGTGAGTAGGACCATTGCACATTTGACTCGTGTTCTCGAACCTCACGGCGTGAGGGATAAGATCTCACGATGTGAGTCAGGCCTAATTGTTCCAAACCCTAAAAATCAAGTATAAAACAGAATGAGGAGGCTTAGGTCGCCCATCCTCAGCTTATTTCACTCCCAAGTTACTGAAAAACCGTAGATTTGGCCCTCTTGAGCCCTTGAGCCATTGTTGGTGATATCGGTGTGTTATTGGTGTTTTGATTTCCTTAAAGAAGAAGAAAAAGCACTTGCGCTAGTTCCTTTTGGCGAGATAAACCCCTCCTTGTGGATTTTTTGAGCTTGTGAGCTTCTGTAAGTCATAAAGATCCTATCTTTTTGAGTTAAGTTTGCTAGATCTTGGGTTACCATTCATGAAGTCCATAAAGTTGGAAACTTTAT